GAAACAATAGAGAAGAAATTGTCAAATAAATAACAGAAGATTTAACTTCCCCACATAAAGACACATGACTACTGTTGAGATAGAGTATATGGAAAAAGTCCAATATCTATGCATATTCAAATGATATGCCTTCCAAGGTTTGAAAATATCCTTAAAAAGTCCAGAGATTAAAAAAGTACTTATCTATAAAGAGAAGACAATGAGATGTCATGAGACTTCCTATCAGTAAAACTGGATTCCAGAAGATAATGGATGTCTTCAAAGTTCAGGGGAAACATACATTGCATATGAAAAATACATTGAATAATAATTACATATTTTAAATATTTTTTTTTGATTTTCAATTTTTAGCATCAGCATAGTATGCTTAATTATATGTAGAGAACAGAGTGTTATTGTTATAGACAACATCATCATTAACAAAATTTGGGTAGTAGAGGTGGAGTGCAGAAGAAAGAAAATACTGTGGAAGTGTGGGACTCCCCAGCTTTGAAACCGAGAAGTCAACAATTTTATAAGTTGGCAAATTAAGACATGGAGAAATGTAAGGTATATTTTAAAAAATATAATTTTAACTACTGGAATAAATACAAATGTTAATTATGAATAATTTCTCTGGGAAGTAGAAGTATATTTTCCTATAGTGTATGATTTTTACCATACATCATATTATACACACACACACACACATATATGTATGTGTATATATGTATAAGTATGATGTCTGGGGACGCCAGGGTGGCTCAGTCAGTTGAGCTTCTAACTCTTGGTTTTGGCTCAGGTCATTATCTCAGGGTCATGCGATAGAGTCCCATGCTGGGTTCTGCACTCAGACCCTCCCCCACTTGTGCACACACACACTCTCTCTCTCTCTCTCTCGCTCTCAGATAAATAAATAATATATAAATAAATAATTTAAAAGAATGATGTCTGAATAGGATCAAAATGGAACCAAAGGAGGAATGAAAATTACTAGGAAGCTGTGGCTTTTGAGATCCACTGTAGCTTTGGTGGCCTCGGGATGCAGATGTGATTTTGGATTGCATTGCTGTTGGGAGGCCGTAGGTGAGCCCATAATTGCATGTACAAAGTTTAAGTAGTTTCAGACAGGGACATCTCTAGCACTGTAGGCATAAGATGTGTGCATATCAGCTGAGGGGTGCATGGTCCTAGATGCATCAGTCAATGTGCCTACTGTGACCCTTCCTGCCCTGCTCAAACTGCCCTACCCAAAACGCGATGTTGAAAGATGATGAAAGCAGCATCAATGTTGGTCTTTGCTTAGGGATGGCAAATGACTGGATTACACTCTTTCAATAGCCTACTCACTGGTCCATGGTGTGATCTGGTAACTAGAGTTGAAAAAGTTCAGTGAATTCCTTTTCTCAGGAATTTGAACTCAGAACGTGGAAAGATTTGCCTGGAAGCTCTCTAACCCCCTGGACAGGGTTAGAGAGCTGCTGTGAAAAGGTCTACAAACTGCAACTGTGAGATCCCTACAAACTGCAACCAGGAGATCCCACTCAAGTCCACAGCTGTCCTACAATTCCACTTGCCCAAGGCTCTACTGTACGTTCTGTGCTTGATTTCCAAGGGGTCCCATCTCCTTGTAAGACCATACGTACCTTTCCAATAACTACTCCTTTTACTTGAGTTAGCTTGAGACAGACTCTTCCATGAAACCCAAATCACTCTAATTAAAAGGCCTGACAACAATTTCACTTGGTATTCAAAAGGCAAGAGAGGCATGGTGACTGCTGTCCCCTGGGACAATAGGGTGAGCTCCACTTTGTGCAACCCCACCCTATACCACAAGAACTGGGTGCATGAGGCTGAAATTGCTTTTTTAAGAAGAGTAGTTTAAAAAAAAAGCTGCTTAGTTTTCTTCTTTTTAAAGCTTGCTGCTCTATTGGATTGGAGATCTCAAGGTAGTTCTCGAAGCCTCCAGTCTTTTTTTTATATAGATATATTTATTTTAGAGAGAGAGCACATGAGCAGGTGTGGGAGGGACAGAGGGAGAGAGAAGATCTTAAGCCCACTATGCGCTGAGTGTAGAGCCTGAGGCAGGGCTCAATCTCATGACCCTGAGATCATGACCTGAGCCGAAACCAAGAGTTGGATGCTCAGCTGACTGAGCCACCCAGGCACCCTAACCTCCAGTCTTCTAAAATGAGCTTAGGAGAATTTTTTTTTTTTTTAAATAACCTTAAAGTTCTATTTAATGACGATTTTGTTTTTCAGACCCAGAGGTAATGGAAACTCTACTAAACCTAAACCTTCAAAAGAGAGAGCAACAAAGATGTTTGGAAGCTGTAGACTGACCTCCTTCCTTTCTTGTTAAGCCCTTCTCCTGGAGCCCTTCCTAGGAAGCCTGAGAAAGAGGGAAGCAAGCCCTGACACCAGGCAACTGGTCTGCCCCGCCGCCAGGCCTTGCCATTCTTCTGTTGAATGCAAAACTTTCACAGAGCATGAACATCAAGCAAAGCTATTCTGTGAGCCTGATGGATCAAGACAAAAACAGGATCACTCTCTGGCACCTGGGTGGCTCAGTTGGTTAAGCGACTGCCTTCAGCTCAGGTCATGATCCTGGAGTCCCAGGATCGAGTCCCACATCGTCGGGGGGTCCCTGCTCAGCAGGGAGTCTGCTTCTCCCTCTGACCCTCCCCCCTCTCATGCTCTCTCTATCTCATTCTCTCTCTCAAATAAATAAATAAAATCTTTAAAAAAAAAATACAGGATCACTCTGTAACTATGTCTGAACTCAGACAAAACATGAACATTGCCCTAACTGCCCTAATAGTCCCCTATCTAAATAAGCTTTATTAAGACATGCCATCACAGAATTAACCCCACTTCCTGAGAGCATCCAATTAAAGTGAAGCCCCACTTTCTTAGCCCACCTTAAATCACCTTAACACAAGCCCATATCCTTTCTAGTAAGTCCTCTCTAATCCTTCTAATTTATGCCTTCTTCCTGAGATGCCCACAGTTCTCTCTGGAATGTGCCCTTTCTCCCTAAAAGACCAGTAAACCCAACTTGTTCAGCAACAGATGTGTTCCTGGTGGTGTTCAGCCAGAGGGTTTGACAGGTCTTATGAGTGTTATGTTTGTCTGCTCCATTCCTAGTATTACTTGTCTCGGATCATCAAAGAGTGGTTCCCCCGAACTAACTTTCTTGGTCCAGGCAATAATCGCCAGTGTTTACCAAGTACTTATTACCTGCCAGGTGCTTTATATGGATTAACTCATTTGATCTTCACAACGGCCCTGTGAGTTAATAGGCTTAGTACCCCATATACAGATGAGGAAACTGAGGTACAAAATTTAAAGCACTACTAAGTGGCTGAGCCAAGACTCCAAGGCAGCCAGCTGGCCTGGCTCTAGGCTCCAATGTTCACACAACCCTTCCTCCCACTGCACTGGTGCACTGTGCTCTTGTGGGTCACCGAATAGTGTGAGGTCACTAGTCACTATGCCGTCACCCCACAATGAAAAGCACTATGGTAAGCCGTCCCAGGAAATCACTGCTGGGTTTCCTTTAAGATATGGAAGAATGCACACCCACAGGGAAAAGCAAATCTTCCTGATAACAGTATCAGAAATAACTGAGCTTCTAAGCAACTGGATTTTTTTCACCTCATGAATACATTAATCATATAATTCAGAGTTTTCAACCTGATTTTAAGAAAGGTATGGGACGATCATAAGTTGAATAAACCTAACCAAGAAAGATATTCCTTTTGTGTTTTTCTCTGTTTTACTAATGTGGTCAAGAGAACATCCCTGCTTGGTAATAATATGACTGGCATTTCTTTATCTCCCCAAAAAGAGGGGGGCTGAGGTACAGAGACTTAGAAGGCAATAATTAATATCTAGTGAGATTTCAGTAACTTAGTTTCATTTTATTTTGTTTTTGTAATTACCTTCCACCTATGACCTACTATACTGGTTTTTCCTTTTATAAGTGATGTAAAGTTTCATTTAAAAATTATTTCAGTAAAAAATTTGAGTTCGTTTAAAGAAAAATGTCAAATAAGTGGTGGTACAGGCAGTAAGAAACCAAACAAGGAAACAGAAATCATGAAGGTGTTCTGGGAAACACTGACTTCAGTTTCCTCTTCACCTTGGATACTGGAAAGACGAGAGTTGAATTCATTGGTCATTGACCTCAAGGGTACAGTTCCCAGCTGCACCAGTTGCTCCCACAAGTCCAGCTCCTGGCTTTATCTTCTCCCTCCTCCCTCACTCTCCCCTCTGCCTTCCTGCCTTGCTACCCTCCAATTTTCAGAAGAAATTAGTGGGGGGTGGAGGGGGTAGAGAGTAGGGATGACATAATAAAGAACATCCCTTTGCTTTGATAACACCATGACCAAAGAGTGGAAGTGACCCGGGCTACCCGCTCGCTTAAATGAGGCGCAGGGACCGCTCTCAGAAAGCCCCCATCTGATTTCCTCTAGTCCTGTGAAGTTTTCATTCTTCAAACTGCGCAAGAACAGCGTTTCTAAAACTGCTTGGACAGCGGATTCTTTGGCCCTCCTCCGTTCCAGCTTAGAGTCACTATGACAGCTTGTTCCCGTAAGAAGTGTGAGTGAATTAAACTACTTGGGGGGAAAAGCCAGGGAGGAGATGCCACAGATGCGTCCTCCTCCCCCCTTTCAGGCTATGTAGCACCTCGACCCTCACTCCACCCCATCCCTCGGAGTCGGGAAGTTTTGGAGGACACCCTGCGGGGGTGGGATGGGGTAGATTGCAGGGATGGCTCCCGGGATTGAGAGGGAAGTGGGCAGCGCGGGGGAATAACGCCCCGGAGCCCCCGAGGCTCAGCCCCAGACTCCCTGGAAAGCCCAGCAGTCTAGACAGGCTGGGTTTAGATTCTCCCCTCTGGGAGAGTTGTCAGGAAGTCTGGGGGAGGGGCGAGCCGCCTTCTCCTGTTCTGCGGGCTCGGGAGGCTGAGGAGGCACGGCAGCAGCAGCGGGTCTCGAGCTGTCACGTTCCCGCCCACGGGCGGGCTCCGGGGCTCCCGAGTGGGCCCGCGGGGCGCAGGCGGGAGGCGGGGGGCGGCGGGCAAAGCGCGCGGGCCGGCATGGAGGGACTGGTCCTGCTCAACGCCCTGGCCACCCGGCTGCTGTTCGTGCTGCACTCTCTGATTGGGATCTGGCGAGTGACCGAGGTGAAGAAGGAGCCGCGGTACTGGCTGCTCGCGCTGCTCAACCTCTTGCTCTTTCTGGAGACTGGGCTCACCCTCAAGTTCAAGCGCGGGAGAGGCTACAAATGGTGAGCGCACCCCGGGAAAGGGAGGGCGCGCGGAGTCCCTGGGCACTGTTCCCTATGGCACTCGCGCCCAAGAGCTCATCTCCCCCGCAGTCCGCCTATTCTTTACTCGGATCCAGACCCTCTTTGTCCTCGCCCGGAGCTTCCTAGGAGCGCGGGATGTTTGCGCATCTCTGGGACACGCCGGAGTGCCTCAGGGTGCTGCCTGTCCCAGGGCAACACAGGGAAGGCTCAGTCGCGGCCCAGTGTCACCCAGTCCAAGCAACTTGGAAGATTTGAATAAAGAAGGGCAGCGCTTGCCTGCTCTGCAGAAGGTGCTCCAGAGCAGGGGAGTCATGGGGCCAGGGGGATGTCCATGTGCCCTGCTTTCTGAACTTGGGGTGTGTGGGTGTGCGCTCGTTATTCGGTGCATGCAGGTGTGGGGATGCGTTTCGCTGGGTACAAGCGACTTCTGTTAAGAGCTTGTGTGCATAGAACAGTCTCCCAGGGCGAGAAGCCCCTCGAAGCACTTCTGTGCCGCCCCACTCCCTTCAGCCTGGCGCCCTGACATATGGCAGCAGCTTCAGGTGCCCCAGGTGGGTTCCTTCGGAGCTTGGTTAATGGAAGTTCATCTTGTCAAAGAAGGGTTGCCACGCTGGTGGAGGGACCAGCAAGGAGGGTTCAAACTTAACCTCAATCTGCAAGAACTAAAGGTTCTGTGTGATATTTTATTTCCTCCCTAAAGACTTGAGTGACAATAGAAGAGTTGAGAAAAAGATTCTCCTGCCATTTACAAAGAGTTTCCACCTCCATCCCTCCACTCCCAGTAGATTTTCATCCAACTTCTCCAAGCTAGGCCTCTTCCTGTATTAATTTTTAAAAACAGTAAAACTATGGTCATATAAAAATCCAATAAAATGTATGCTATATATTAGTAAAAAAAAGTAAGGCAATATTTTCATATATGTCAATACTTTTAAAAATACCTAATTCTAGAAGAAATACCATTAGTCAAGTCAAGGAATTACATACAAAAATGGTATTATAGTAAGCCACCATGTTAAGGGGGAAAAAAAAACCCTCTCTACAGTTTTACATACTAAACTGCAAAAGGCTGTGTATCTCATGACAGTCCAAGGGTGAGAATGTGTTGTTGTGTCTCTTAAGATGATGTGAATCTTGCTTAAATTTTCCACTCTTGAAAAATTACTAGAATTACCAGTGAAAAAATTATTCAGGTAGAATCCTAATGTAAATCGCTAAGGATGGGACTATTATAGCTCCTGCCCCACCCTGTGATCAGCTTATTAAGCAGTAAAGATTTGAAGTACTTTCCAATGTGCCTTTTAAAAACCTCAAAGAAAAATGGCATTAGCTTCCCCAATAAGCCTTAGGGTTAAAGAAACAGAAGGGGAGAAAAATGTTCATCCAGCAGGTCATATGAGATTTATTTCATTTTTACGGAATAGCTCTAAGATGCTAGGGTAGAAAATATCTTCAGTAACAGGAGCATGAGGTCTGAGGCTGAAAAGTGCTCCATGGAAGGTAGTCCTGTCACCAACCAGCACAGCTTCTGGGAGAGAGGTCAACCTTAAAAGGGGGACCAACCCACTGGGCCCCAAAATATCCTCCCTCATGTTCCAAGAGTAGACCAGAGGCCTTCGTTCATGTTAAGTCAAAATTCCCCTCCAGTTATGTAGAAATACCGTAGCCAGTTGAAACTTTACCTTCATGTCTATACCATCATTGGCAGCTGGTTCTAACTGGTATGCAACTTACAACTACGCGAAGATAAAAGATTGGGGCAAAAACGGGTGATCAATGTTAAATAGGGAACTGAGGATGTATTTGTGTATAGAGTGTGGTCTCAAAATCAGAAGGAAAATGGAGCAATGGAACAATACTTATTTGCTCTGAGGCATTGAGCAAGTTACTTAACCTCTCTGACCCTTGGTTTCCTCATCTATAAGTACTTATAGGTTGTTACAAATTAAATGAAATAATATATTTCATGGTTGATGAATTAAAAAGGAATTTTTTTTGAGATCCCAGGATTTTTTCTCTTTTTTTCTTCTTATTAAAAAATATTATGTGTCAACTGGACACATTTTCTGTCTATACTAGCCCAACAACTTTACTTGAGGGACTGGACAATAAACCATTGGCTCAGAATCAAAAAGTAGAAAAAAATTTCTCACCTTTATTTCAGAACAGGCCATCATGTGTACTGTATATTTTAGCATTTATTGAAAAAATTTTGCTGGCTCAATATCTAGACTAATATTTGAAAATAAGCAAAGAAAATAGTGGATTTGGCTTGTAAAATTTCAGGAACAAATGAGTCTTTGTAAATGATCTAAATAGAAAGTTGATTAATGAAGCTTTGTTCTACTGATATTACTAAATGCTTTGTTCTACTGAGCCTGCAAATGTGGTCATTTTTGTGGTGGACAAAACTCACACACTATTCTGTCATAAGTTTGAGGGGGAAAAAAAGTCAGAAGATGGGATGCTGAAAAAATATAGAAAATTATCCCTGATATAACATGGTAATAATTAAAAAGTATTTGATTTGGGACATATTTCATTTCTGGGTTGAAGTTTTCTGAGTAAGGCAAGGCATGATTTTTTGTTATTCTTGAGTGTTAAAAAAAAAACAGTTTCCATTGGGAAATCAAGACTGATGAAATAAAAAAAAAAAAGCTAAGTAAATATTATGACAGTATCTAGACATCTCTCTAGGAATGTCAATAAACAGAGCTATATGCAGATCTATATATTATATGTCTTTTGATCCATTGGTCTTATATTTTGGAAACTACTCTATAGAACCCAAGGTGGTCATATGTAAAGGCATACATACAAAAATATTAATTTCCATCTTGTAAGTAAAAAATAAAGCTAACAATCTGATTATCCATCAATAGACTGATTGAAAAATTATAATATACCCATATTGTATATATTTTGTTGGTATTAAAAATAATGCACTAGAGTTTAGCTATTGACCTCAAAGGATCTCTGTGATATGTTGTCAGGAGAATAAAGTTACAGAATTATGTATATTATGGGCTAATTTTTTAAAGGACTTGTCTAAGAATTATCCTTTGTATTAGTTGAATACATTACCCATTTACAAATTAAGAAGAAGAAGGTGAAACCTTCCCATACTTTAAATCAATCAACCAATGAAATAATGCCTGAATGGTAGATCAAACTCCGTACACACAGGAGGTGAAAATTTCTTTTCAGGAACATCAGATCCATGAACCTCCTTTAGACTACTCTGGTCTACTTTGAACATTGTGCTTTTTACCAACATTTGCACCTGGCCCCACATAAATCAGTGGAATGATACATTGGAATGATACATTGACCGATAGAGGAAAATGTGAAAAAAATTTCCTGAAACATAGCAAACATATTACACTTGTCAAAGGAATGTTTCTTTAGCTATCCTTTGGAAAGGAAACATAGAACTAGTGCTGCTGAGCTCAGCTGTCCAGCGACAGCAACATTACGTCAACACTAATAACTTGCAGTTGGAGAAGTTTAATTTGTTGGAATCCTATAGGATAGAGAGGGTAAGCCAAAGACACATCCCTTTTTAAGCCCAATGAATGTGTGCTGGTGGAATTGGCTCCTTTTTACCTGGTATTTATTAATTTCACGTGCACATTTCACTTACACTCCTGTAAGATGGAGATGAGTATCACTTGCTTTATTGTTTCTTGATTTTATTTTCTTTTGTCCAGGTAACAATCCAATAGATCTATGAATTACCATTTAGGTAAAGTCAAACACGAGACAGTGTTTCTGTTGTTTATTTGCCAATACTGATAAAATAGTCCTCAGGGGTTAGAAAAATGACCAAGATTGTGACAAGTTTGAAGACTGTTCACTTGAAAGCAGGTGGTATCTGAGAATTAATAGAGATCTAAGTTGAATTTATTGGCAAAAGTACTGAATTTGAAGCACTGAGCTTTCCTCATCAGAATTTCAAGAATATAAGGTAAATATAATTGAGCTAATAAAATACCTCACTTACTTGGTCACCTTTCTTCATTATATCTCTTTCCTTTTTCCTTTATTGAGCTTAATCAAATGTTTATTTGTTGAATTCCCAATAAGTACATGTGATACTCTGCTAGACGCTGTGTGAACAGGCAGAGAAACAGACAACAAACATATTTGAGATTTTAAAATGAAAGGTAGCATTCTGATTAAGTGTTCAAACATATGGGAATAATTATGAATATTTAGCATTTGCTGATGCCCAGGCTCTTCCAAGTGTCCTACACAGATTATTCCATGCGCTCCTGACAGCAGCTGCAATGATTTCCTGTTTCTCTGTTTTCCCCCAGTTTTAGATGAGGAAACTGAGGCACAGAGCTATGAGCTGTCAATTGAAGTAGCAGGGGTATCAGGAGTCCAACAGTTTAGAGGAGAAAGGATGTGATGAAGTGTACGGGGGTGGGTTGGGTAGGGAGAAGGGCCATCATGGCATTTGAGCTGGAGCAGGAGAAATGAGTAAGAGACAGGAGTGCAAAGGCCGTGTAGTTAAAGGACATCCTGAGGCAGGTGAGTGTAGGAACCTTGAGCAGGTATCTTTAGAGGAAGCACACAGCCTTATCAGTCTTCATTCAGCAAACATATGTGGAACAGCTAATAGGTATTAGACACTGTTTGAGTGTCAAGAATTATGGAGGTGAATAAAACAGGTAAAATCCCGCCCTGAAGGAACTCCCATTTTAGTCCAGGGATTCAGCAAATAAAGAAGTCAGTAAGAAACAAGTGAGCTAATAAGTAACAAATGAGTGATCTGAACTCCAGGAGGACTCAGCGGTAGCAGTTACAGAGGGATGAAGGAGCAGGGAGAAGACTCCACTGGGTGGTCAGAGAGGCCTTGCTGGGGAGGGGACATCTGAGCTGAATCTATTTAGAGAGGAGTAGGAGCCAGTGTGGGAAGAGCCAGGGTGATGAAAAAAGAGAGAGAGAAGGGCCAAGTGTGCCCTGGGACATTT